CCCTCTGCAGAGTCAAGTGTAAATCTATCCTACCTAGGGATCTGCCCTGCACACAGGACCCTCCACAGTCCTCTGAAACAGCACTCACCCTCTATTCTACTTCTTGTCTCTGATCTCCTCCAATGTCAATTTCCTCCCCTGTCAGCTTCAGTGTTCCTTCCAGAAATGAAACATTAACACACAGTCAATTCTATTAATTAGAATACTGTTCCCCAGCATTATTTGCAAAGAGCCAAGGTTCAGATGGAGAAATAGCTCCACTGTGCATATGGACAGAGAAGGCCCTGCATAAAGATAAGAATGAGGAATCTCCTAGAAGTGCCCTTTCTGTGCCAGGCACCGTGGGGCAAACTGTGCTGATAACTCATTAGCTGTGTGTAACATTCCTGGGGTGTAGTTAATGCTTCCACTGTCTATTTCTGTAGAGGAATAGTGCAGAGGTTAACTGGTTTGCACAAATACCACAGCTAGAATAAATACACTGGGGTGGAGCCCAGGAAGTCTAGCTGCAGCCGTTATGATCTTCACATCCGGTGGGTGGAGGCATTTACCTGGGTCTCCTTCTGATCCTGCTCATAAGTTGCACCACCCCACGAGGTTGCTGTGCAATTATCGGTATATGAGGAAGACTTAGATCATGCTGCAGCTATGGCTCCACCAAACCACTCTTGACAGGCCCTCTTCTAGGACCTCAGTGTCCCCAGGGAGCTCATGGATGTGAGTCTACTTGAACTACAGGTCTGGAGTTCTCCTCTCACAGCCACATCCCTGAACCAGTCTGTCTAGAACAGTGGTTTTTATCCTGTGGGTCACGGGACCACTGGGCTTTCACTAATCTTTTAGAGGGACTTCATATCAGGTATCCTACATACCAGATACTACAATACAATTCATAACAGTAGCAAAATTACAGTCATGCAGTAGCAACTGAAAATAATTTTTTTGGTTGGGAGTCAACACAGGTCTAACATCAGTATCAAGGAAGAAAAAGGAAGAAGTGGGGAGATCAGACCATAATAATAGAATTCAACCCTCAGGCAGAAAATACCTTCTGAGCAGCCTCAAATTCGCATCTTTCTAATTCAGGGCCTTCTGGGAGTTGCATTTTGAGAGGAGGGGCTTGGATAGGGTATGCTGAGTACTGACTTAGGGGCAAGCCATTCTATTTTTGTCCCTTGGAGATGTTTCTTTAGCCATGGATTTCTCCTGTCTTTCTCACTGTTTGGCTTCAGGGACAATTTCAGGTCACTTGAATGTCCTTAATCTCTCCCTGAAAAATTGATTCCAAGCAATGCCAGAGCATAGGCTAATGGCACAGGTGTAGGCAGAGGGCAAGCCAGGTGTCCTTAGTAGATATAGGAATAACTGTGTCCTCAGGCTTCTTGGGCATCACTTTGCTCATCTATTAAGCAGGTCACACAGGATCAGTCTCTAGGAAGTGTGCGAAGGAAGGAAGCATAGTCTTGAAGCTGGGTTTGAATTATGAAGCACAGCAAATGTAGGGTACTGGCACAGACTGTGTGTGGCAAACAGTTCATTTTGTGAGTTAAGTGACAAAGTAATAGGCAGTGTCACCCACCAAGTCCAGAAGAAGTATGAATACACAGGTGTATTTAGGGCCTTGGAATAGATGGTACAAGGAAGTCCTGAGAAAGCCAGTTAGAGCATTGACATCTGCTCTTGATAATGTCTCACTGGAGATATTTGACTGTATCCAACTTGAGCCCATCCTAATCTTGTTGCCAGTGCTTCTGACCTCCCTGGGTCACTGAAGCCAAGCCATTGGCTCTGAGTTAACTTTTCATTTTTGCCCAGCAGAGACCCAGAAAATAACAGGCTTTGGCAAGGGGAACACCCAAAATATATATTTGTGAGTCTTCCTTCTGCTGCCACTGCTAGAAATGTGTTCCTCATCAAAACCCTGGGACAGACATTCTGATTGCTAACCCACTTCTCCCCACCTCTCTATTACCTGCTGAGTCACTTTGTGGATGGATGAACTTCCCAGCACTCTCTTGAACAAGTTCATATCCCAGGCATATTTGACAGCTTCCTAAACTGATTTGCTTTCCTGAAGAAAGAAACAATGTTTTCCCTTCTTTCCAGCCTTCCTCTCTAACCAGTTGCCCTCTAGAACAATTCTCTTTTAAAAATTTGTTTATTAGGAAGAGGGACTGCCTCTGACATAATCTGATTGGCCTGCTCTTTGATCACCTCCCTCTGAGCGGGGAGCAGCCTTACCAGGCCACAGTAGAGGACAATGCAGCCACTTTTGATGAGAACTGATAGACTAAGATCAGAAAGGAGAGGAGAACCTTCCCTATCATCGGACTTGGGGAGTGGCATGCATGCAGAAAGGGGAGGGAGGGTGGGATCGGGAGGGGAGGAGGGGGGGGCTTATGGGGGGATACAAAATGAATAAAGTGTAATTAATAAAAAAAACTATTATATCCAAAAAAAAAAGAAAGAAAAATACAAATACTGCAGCCTTAGTTCCTAAGCTGTAGGACCCAAATTCTTCATGATATGTGAAAAAAAAATTGTTTATTCAATTTACTCTTGGATCATAGCCCTCTCCCTCCTCTGCTCTCATTCTCAAGCTTCCTCATTATACACCTGTTCCCCCTATCCTATTTCTCAGATAAGGGGAGCCACACATATCCACACTCTCCAGCTCATTAAGTCAAATCAGAACTGATGGAATCCTCTTCCCCCATGGCCTGGTGAGGCAGCCCTGACCAGGAGCAGTGATCAGAGAGCAGGCAACAGAGTCATGTCAGAGACAGCCTCTTCTCCCCTTACCAGGGAACCCACACAAACCCTGAGCTGCCCATCTGCTACACCTGTGTAGGGAGCCTGGGTCCAGTCCATCCATGATCCTTGGCTGGTGTTTCAATCTCCACAGTCCCCTCTGGGCCCTGCTTAGTTTGCTCTGGTAGTCTTCTAGTGGAGCTTCTGGCACTTTCAGGTCGTTTTATCCTTCCTCCCACTTATCCACTTTCCCTGCTCTTCACCCAACGTTTGCCTGTGAGTCTCAGCATCTGTTTTCATCTGATACTGGGTGGAGACTCTAAGAGGACAGCTATGGTAGGGGCTTGTCTTGTTCCCTCTCTTCAGACACTTCTCCTGCCTATTCTATTTCCCACTCTGAGTGAGATTTAAGCAATCCCCTTGGATCCTCCTTGCACCTTATCCTCTTTGGGTCTGTAAATTGTATTATGTATATCTTGGACTATGTAGCTAAAATGTGCTTATACAGACACATACCATGTGTGTCTTTCTGGACAATTCTTGATGGCATAGGAGCTGACACCTGTGTACAGGGAACATCTTAGCCCAGAGAAGAGCTTCTCGATGACCTGCCTTGTGTTCCACAGACCTCAAGACAAACACAAAGGTGTCAGTGCTGGAGGGAGACATTCTGGATGCCCAGTACCTGAGGAGAGTCTGCCAGGGCATCTCTGTGGTCATCCACACCGCTGCTGTCATTGATGTCAAAGGGGTCATTCCCAGACAGACCATCCTAGATATCAATCTGAAAGGTAGAGTATCTGCAGAGGAGAAGGTGAGATTTGGGAGGTTGAAAATGCTACCACGGATCAGGAAGGAATGCTCTCACCATAGAATACCTGCCATTCTCTGAGTCTAATGCCTCTGCTCACCATACCCTGCTGGAAGAGCTCAGTGCCATTCCATGGCTAAGGCCCAGCGGGTAGTAAAGTAGGTAACTCAGGATGTAAGGCCACAGCCATGTCACTCCACCTTCAAGAAAGCTCTTCTGCTGTCCTCCATGCAGAGGAGACGGAACTCCAACTCCATGCAGTTGACAACCACCCACCCATTCTCTGCCTAGACTTTGCAGGAACCTGCTCTGCAGTCTGCTCTGTCTTCAGGACCTCACAATGTCCTGCCATTATTCAGGAATGCCCAGCAGGATGTTTTCCACAAATGCTTTTAGTTTTCTACCAAGACCACTAGATGAGATCAGTCAGTACTGGTTGCCACAATGAAAACTAGAAGGAGTATTTACATAACCAGGTAAATGAAGTCATAGATAAAACCAAGAATTTTCTAACATTTTGTATAATATCTGGAACACAGTTGTAGCTCTTTATCTCCCCAAACCCAGTAATCAGTTGTTTCCTGATTCAGACTAATTGTTTCTCTGACAGTTTTGACTCTCATCAAATGACAAAAAATAAAAATTAAACAAAACAATAAAAAAAAAAAACCTGGACCTATGAAATGTCGATGTATCATTCATATCACCTATACACAACTGTGCTTGAGCTTGAATAATGTTAATTATTCAGTAATTCTTAGCTAATAAGAACTATTCTTGTTCACAATCTAAGAATATAATTTGGTTGTATAATTTAAAAAACATGTATGACTGTATGCATGAAATTATACTTGTTTCATGGACACATTAGAACTGGATAAGAAGCTTTATGTGCATATTTAAGTGATTTTTAAAATGTCACACACACTCATGTGTGCACATATTCTCAAGTCTACAAACACAGAGGCCTAGAGATATTTGCTCTCTGTTGTCTCGGTCTACAGCATGGAAGCTTTGAGGCCAATATGAGAAGATTTACTCTAATCTGTAAAAGTTTCACTGCTGGGCAAAAGGATGAAAATGACTGTTGAGGATATTTGATCCTATCTGAACCCCAAAGCTGTGAGCAGTAAAGCACTGTTTCTTGTTTGATGTGGTTGAGCGCTATAACAAACCTTTAAACCAAGACCTTTCTGTATATTGTAAACAGGTGACTACCTTCTGGTTCACCCAGCCCTAACACACACCTTTAATCCAAGAGATTTCTGTACACAGGATTTAATAAAGTTAACTCTATGTCAAGAGGCAGAGCAAGAAACCAGCTGACAGGGATTGAAGAGGAGGGACTTTGAGTTGAGGGGTATTTTAGACAGCCTGGAGAAGAAGAAACAGCTCTTTGACTTCAGCTTTTCAGCTTAGGCTTAGGCTTTAGCTCCCTGGCTTTGGGGGCCTTTTGGGCTTTGAGCTAGCAAGCCTCTGGCCTTGGGTTTTTGGCCTTTTCCTCCTGGGTTGTCATCTGAGCCAGTGAGCCTTTCGGTTTTTCCATCAGGACCTGAACTGAGAAGGGTCAGCTGGGTGCTTTCTCTGCTTCTCTGAGCTAGAGGGTTTTCACCCCAGCATCTGGGCCCTGAGTCATTATTGGTAAAATAGAACCATTGGCATTTTCATTTCTTTACAATATTTTGGTGCTCCAATGAGTGGCATGACCCCACAGACAGAGAGATCACTCCAGCTTCAGACAAACTGAGAAGTCTTCAGATCTGGTAAATTATTTGGGAAATCCTCAAGGAGAGAATTAAGGGTGAGAAGTAGTTTGAAGTTAATAGTAGGCTTTGGGACCCTGTTTAGTCCTACTCTAGATAGCGTTTTAAAAGCAAAAAATGAAAAGCTAAATGGCTTCGCTGAAGTTGTCTTAGTACCAATTATGATTTTATCATTTTGGTATTTTATACTTTATTCTTAAAAGCCATAATGGCTTTCCATATTCACTCAAAGAAAAAGTATATTGATAAGATAAAGGCCTTAGAAGGAAAGACTTAGAGAGATTTGTAAATGAGATTAAGAAAAATACTCAGACAGAGACGATTTTACACAAGGGCCTGTCATGCCACCACATAATGAAACTGAAAGGGGGCAGCCTATGGTTGTTGGAAAACCAGCCTTAGTATATCCAATTACTATACAAGACATGGCCAAAGACGATAGGCACCCCAAGGGTATCAGGAATTGAAATGACATGCTGTAGACATATTAGATTTGAGGAGACTCAAGGATGCGATCGTTTCCTACAGTGAGCATTCATACTATGTTAACAGATGTTAAATTCATAGACAACTCAGAACAGGACTATCCCTCAAGATGGGAAAGTTTTCACAGCAGCCATATTGGAAACTGTTCTTGAGTTACAATGCCAATCATGCTGGAAAGTGGAAGCAAAGGTCGTAGGACAAGGAAGTCAGGCCAGACACACTGATATCTCTCAGGATCAGTTGTCAGGTGAAGGTCAGTATGCTGATTTAAAAAGGCAGTTTGAAGCTGATGATCACACCTTGGCGTTACATCATCTAGCAGCTTTAAATGCTTGGGATAGGCTGAAGAATCAGGAAAAAGGTCTGAATCTTTTCCTAAAATTATACACAGCCCAAAAGAAGCTTTTGGTGATTTTTCTGTAAAGATTGACTTCAGATATGAATAGAATAGTATCAGATTCAGAAGTCAAAAAGGACTAATTGAAACTTTGGATTTTGAAAACACTACTTGAGAATGCAAAAGAGTGATTAGACCCTCAAAGACAAGATCAGCACCAGTAGAGGACTGGATGAGAGATACAGCAGCTGTTGGATCTCATGTTTATGATGCTAATAGAAGAAGTAAATTCTAAAAGTCTTAGGAAAAATCAAAATGGCAGATGTTTTAATTGTGGCAAGCAAGGCCATTTGAAAAGGGATTGTAGGCAAGGCTGTCCTATAAACAATGGATTTTCCAGAGACAATCCATAAAGAAGGCCCCACCTTCTGGAGTATGCAGAAGCTGTGGCAAAGGCAAGCAAGCACTGGACTAAGGAGTGCAGATCAACAAGAGGTAGGCAAGGTAAGCCTTTGCCTTTGGGAAATGCCTGAGGGGGGCCTGGCTCAGGCCCCAACATCAAATTTGATTCAATCATTTCCTGTCAGCATAGGAGAAACTCGTCCACAGAGAAATTAAAATGTTTAATACCTGTTGTTTAAAACAGCTCTGGATATAATCAAGGACAGAACAGCTTCAATATATAAAACAAAACAATTCAAGAAAGAACACAAAACAACTATGTTGGCAAACTGCTATAAATGATCAGAGACCTAAGCTAAAAATAAAGGTAAATCACATTGGAATTGAAGATTTAGTAGACACAGGAGCAGATGTAACAATAATTTTACTAAAATCTTGGCATCCAGATTGGTCTTTTTAGGAGGTAAATATTCATCTTGTAGGGATTACAACTTTATCTCAGGTAAAACAACGTACAAGATTGGTCAAGTGTATAGGGCCAGAAGGACAAATAAGAAATTTAAAGCCATATGTGGCTAATATACCCATAAATTTATGGGCACGTAATTTGTGAGAGCAATGGAAAAAAATAACAGTGTTAATGGAGATTAACATTCCTCCAATCTCAGAAAAAAATATATATAAAATAAAGAATCCTTCTGAGAAAAATATCAAAAATTATTATCAGGAACAGTCACAGACTGTCCAGGTTGTCCATAAGCAGGACATGAAAGGCATTGTTCTCTCAAAGCTACCAACTGCCCTACATGTAAAAAGGTTAATCAGGCATTAATAAATTAAAAAATATATTTTCAAATACAATTTGCCAAAGGCACACTTGCCTTATTGTCATTAAATGAAAAATGGGTTTTCTTAGACCATATGTCTTAATTTCATGTCAGCATGTTAGATTGTAGATTGTCACATGGCCTCTGCCATCTTGGACATCACCTTTTGAGTCTTCTTCCTAAATAAAAATGAAATTTTTGTTGTTTGGTATTAAAAATACAGTTAAGAGATTTAAAATGTTTTTAGTAACTATAAAGAGTTGGTACACATGAACTTGCTTTCTAAATCTTTAAGAGTTGGAGTAAATTGGAGCTAAAATAAAAAACTGAGCAGGCTGCTGGTAGCCCATGCCTTAATCCCAGCAGAAACAGGTGATCTCAATAAATTAGTACTTTTCTAAATTCTAAAGTTACTATGAGCAGGATGGTAGTAGTTCACAACTTCAGCCCCAGTACTTGGAAACCACAGGTTTTTAATTTAGGAGACAGAAGCATGTAGATCTCTGAGTCCAAGGACAGCCTGATACAGACCAAATTCCAAACAGAGGAAAAACTTAGACCTAGGTATGGTGGTTCACGCCTTTTTTTTTTTTTTACATTATTATACTTGTTAAAAATATTTTTAATGATTACAGTTTATCCATTTTGTATTCTACCTGTAGCCCCCTCCTTCTTCCTCCCACCCTCCCTCCCTCTTCTCCATCCATGCCACTCCCCCAGTCCACTGATAGGGGAGGTCATCCTTCCCTTCCATCTGATCCTAGTCTATCAGGTCTCATCAGGAATGGCTGCATTGTCTTTCTCTGTGGCCTGGTGAGGCTGCACTCCCCTGAGGGGGAGGTGATCAAAGAGCAGGCCACTGAGTTTGTGTCAGACACAGTCCCTGTGACCATTACTAGGGAACCCACTTGGACATTGAGTTACCATGGGCTATATCTGTGCAGGGGTTCTAGGTTATCTCCATGCATGGTCCTCAGTTGGAGTATCAGTCTCAGAAAACAAACAAACCTTGTCCCCCAGATTTTTCGGTTCTGTTGCTCTCCTTGTGGAGCTCCTGTTCCCTCTAGGTCTTTCTACCTCCCACCCCCAACTTTCCTAAGATTCCCTGCACTCTGCCCAAAGGTTGGCTATGAGTCTCAGCATCTGGTTTTTGATACCCTGCTGGGTAGAGTCTTTCAGGGGCCTTCTGTGGTAGGCTCCTGTCTTGTTCCCTGTTTTCTCCCTCTTATGATGTCCATCCCCTTTGCCTTTCTGAATGAGGATTGAGCATCTTGTCCAGGGTCCTCCTTCTTGATTAGATTCTTTAGGTGTACAGATTTTAGTATGTTTATCCTATATTATATGTCTAACACCCACTTAGAAGTGAGTATATACTCTGTGTGTCTTTCTGCCTCTGGGATACCTCACTCAGGATGATCTTTTCTAGTTCCCACCATTTGCCTGCCAATTTCATGATTTCCTTGTTTTTAATTGCTGAGTAGTATTCCATTGTGTAAAGGTACCACAATTTCTGTATCCATTCCTCAGCTGAGGGGCATCTGGGTTGTTTGCAGGTTCTGGCTATTACAAATAAAGCTGCTACAAACATGGTTGAACAAATGTCCTTGTTGTATACTTGAGCAACTTTTGGATATATGCCTAGGAGTAGTATAGCTGGATCTTGAAGTAGCAATATACCTAATTGTTTGAGAAAGCATCAGATTGATTTCATACCTTTGATCCCAACACTTGGGGAGAGAGATGCAAGCACAAAAGAATTACAGTGATTTAAAGTTAAAAGCTGCTTGCAAAAGGCAGTCTGAAATTGAAAGTGAATATCTTTTGTGACCTAAAAACAAATACACTTAAAATTATTTTAGTTTCAAATTTTCAAAAGATTTTTTTAAATTCTCAGTTGAGAGATTATAATTTTTCTATTGTCAAAAAGAAAAAAAAAACATTTTGCCCAAGGAAAGATATAACCCACACGAAACAAAATAAAACAAAGCAAAAACAAACAAACAAAAAAACTCCAGAGGGGTGGGGCAGGAACTCCTCTGTTTTTCTTTTCTTCTTCTTTTTTTTTAAATCTTTCCAGGAGAATAAAAACATCTAACTAAGGAATCTGGAGACTACTGGACAAATGAAATGTCTGAAGAAAAAGGAGAGATTTACAATAAAAAAAAAAAATTCACAACAAAAGGAGTAAATTGGCTAAGTCCATCTTCTGTCTTCTGCCCTCTACAATTATAAGCGGCAAATGGTCTTCTTGTGGTCCCAATTCATTTAAGATTAAAGCTACCTTTGAAGTTGGAACATAGCTCTCTCCTTCTCTAAACCCAGGAATTCTTGTTAAAGAAAAACCCAAAATCTCTGTCTGGTATCACCCATAGCCACGTGGTATGGGGCAGAAGAAAACAAAAAATAAGAGAATATTTTATTGTCACTGATCTCATTATCTTTTAATTTTCCTTTGACTCTCTAATTTTAAGGTATAAATATTATCTCAAAATCTATAAAATTACTATGTATATATAAACTTTCTGCATGCATGCCCCTCCCCAGGTCCACTGATAGGGGAGGTTCTCCTCTCCTTTCTGATCTTAGTCTATCAGTTCTCGTCAAAAGTGGCTGCATTGTCCTCTACTGTGGCCTGGGAAGGCTGCACCCCCCTTCAGGGGGAGGTGATCAAAGAGCAGGCCTATCAGATTATGTCAGAGGCAGTCCCTCTTCCCATTACTAGGTAACCCACTTGGACACTGACCTGCCATGGGCTACATCTGTGAAGGGATTCTAGGTTATCTCCATGAATAGTCCTTGGTTGGAGTATGAGTCTCTGGGAAGTTCCCTGTGTTCAAATTTTCTTGTTCTGTTGCTCTCCTTATGGAGTTCCTGTCCTCTCCAGCTCTTACTATTTCCCACTTCTTACATAAAATTCCATTCACTCTTCCTGTCAGTTGGCCATCAGGCTCAGCATCTGCTTTGACAGTCTGCAGGGCAGAGGCTTTCAGAGGCCCTCTGTGGCAGGTTTCTAGGTTGTTTCCTGTTTTCTTCTTCTGGCTTTCAGAGGCGGATGGGGAGGGGAGAAGGGAGGGGTTTATGGGGGGATACAAAATGAATAAAGTGTAATTAATAAAAAGTAAAAAAAGTTAAAAAAAAAACTTTCTGTCATGATACCAGTAGTCATATACAGTATTAACTAATTTTAGAAATAAGCTTCATTAGTTTCTTGTACATGTTTCCAGGTTTAAGGCTGAAGCAAGTAACTAGGAACAATGTTTATGTACTTCAGATGTACTTAATAGATTATGGACCTCAAACCTTTCTGAGATATGCTGAATATGGCATTTTAAATGTTTAGGGGTTTTTTTAATCACTCCTAACAATAACATTTTAGGTTTCCAAGAAGAAGACAGGGACCCTGACAATGAATCCACCTGGATTGTGTAACACCAGTCACTGGAGAAACAAAAAACTTCCCCATGTTTCTTCTGCTGCCTGGTTCTGTATAAACAGTGGACACTTTTGAGCTGACTGCCATGTTTAGCCGAGTCAGGATTGCCATTAAGCTGACAAACACCACCCAAAGATCTGCTTCAAATTACAGACTGCTTAAGACATTGAAATTGCTGAGTTCAGATGAGACTAACATGAACATTTCACAGAACTTTGAACTCAAAAATACTTAATCCTAAGACTGCCAAATATAACCTAGCAGGACACTGTGAAAAGCTTTGCAAAAAAAAAAAATTGCTTAATTTTTGTAAATAGTTTTGCTGTATCTTTCCTTTATATTTAGGCACAAAGGGGGATATAGCCATAACATAGGAACAATGAAAAAGATAGATTATTGATTGAATCTACTCTAATAGACCTTTGTATATTGGTACAAAATTAAGGTTCTAATCAGTTACATTGCCATAGGTCTTTTGTATATTGATGCAAAATTAAAGTTATATTTTGGTTACAGCACACTATATATCAATTCTTTTTGAGGTATTGTACCTATGTGATTCTTAAAAAGGCAATGTGAAGTTCTAGTCCTTTTAAAAGCTACTATTATAAACTGTTTAGGATAATTAAGAAATGCATACTAATAGTCAATGAAACTTTTGGTTTTACTAGGTACTGGTTTAGTTAATCAAAAATGTTTCGAAGGTAATTAGTTAGTATATAGCTAGAAACAAGTAATTCAGATATACTGTAGATAGGTAGATGGTTTTCAAAAACCTCAGACATTTATGGTATATAGATCATTAAAAGACATTTCATTTTTGACAATGAGACGTGTCAGCTCCTGGAAGGATCCCCTTTCTACTTCGAAGAAGATGATGAGCATCAAAAAATTCTCCTTTAGGAGATAGCTTCAGGTGTGGCAAGCCAGCCACTAGGCAAGGAAAGCCCTTGCTTCTTCTACTAACAGAATACTGGACAAACTGGATGCAGGAAAGTTGATGGCCAGGCTTTGCAAGGACAAGGCAGGCAAGTCCTTCATCATACCTGCTTCACAGAAAAGTCTGTCAGGTATTCTGAGCCAGAGACTGAAGATGATGCCCCAACGTTACATAAAAATTGTGTGTGACTACCAGGCAACCAGCAGTCTCTGCCATTTGGAAGTTTTGGAAGTTGTTAGCTCTTGGCTTCCTATTTATTCAGCTACTATTTATCCTTCCCAGGTCTCTGATGGGTTTGAAGACTAAATAGTTATAATCTTATAATTAAGCTTAAGTTTTTTAGGATTTAAAGTGTTTATGTCTTAAAAGATGGGTTTTTTGATTGGTAATTCAAGTTGTGATATAAAGTAATTTAGGTACAAAATTTGGACTCACCAAGATGGATAGATAGTGTAATACTTTCTTCAGGTTTCCTAAATACATATGGACTAGACATTGTTAATGTAACTTTTTTTACCAGGTAGTATATAGTTTATTAATGTTAGAGTCTTTTCTTTAAACAAAGAGGGAAAAGTGTTGCATGATATTTAATCCCACGGTGAACCCAAGAAATTTGTGAATAGTAAAACAAACAATGTTTCTTGTTTGGTGTGGTGGAGCCCTTCATCCACCTTTAATCCAAGAACTTCCTGTTTATTTTAAGCAGGTGAAGATGGTGTGGTTCATCCATCCCTATCACACATCTTTTAATCTAAGAGATTTCTGTACATAAGATTTAATCAAGTTAAACCTAGGTCAAAATATGGGGCAAGTAACCAGGTGACAGGGATTAAAGAGTAGGAGGAACTTTGAGTTGAGGGGTATTTAAGACATCATGGAGAAGAAGAGAGATCTTTAGCTCTTTGCTTTAGGCTTAAGCTCAGTGGCTTTTTGGGCCATTTGTGCTTTGAGCTAGCAAGCCTCTGGTCTTGGGATTTTTGGCCTTTTCCTCATGGGCTGTCAGCTGGGACAGTAAACTTTTTGGATTTTTTTCCCATCAGGACATGAGCTGAGAACGGAGGGTGATTTCTCTGCCAATCTGGGTAATCAGGTTTTCATTCTGGCATCTAGCTCCTGAGTCTTTATTGGTAAAATAGAAGAGTTTGGATTTTTAAAGTAAGGAAACATCCTGACGCTGTGCACATGGTTGATCCATGCTTTAACTCCTGACATTGACAGTGTCTTTTCTGTAATTAGGTACCAAGAACCTATTGGAGGCGTGTGTCCAAGCTAGTGTACCAGTCTTCATCTTCACCAGCTCAGTTGATGTGGCAGGGCCCAACTCCTACAAGCAGATCATCTTGGATGGCCATGAAGAAGACAATCTAGAAAGTACATGGTCTGATCCATATCCATACAGCAAAAAGATGGCTGAGAAGGCAGTGCTGGCAGCCAATGGGTGCACCCTGAGAAATGGTGGCACTTTACATACTTGTGCCTTAAGGCCCATGTGCATTTATGGAGAAAGAAGTCCATTCATTTATAACACAATAATTAGGACCCTGAAAAACAAGGGTATTATAGATTCTATTGGCAAATTCTCTAGAGCCAACCCAGTATATGTGGGAAACGCAGCCTGGGCACACATTCTGGCTG